GTTTGTCGCCGCCGCCCCCCCCCGCCGCTTTAAGCTGGGAAGCGGCAGCACCTGCTAATGCAAGTGTTTAATATTTGATGGGCTGGGATAAAGCAGGATCACCTTCGAATTGAATTGAGTGTCAGCCGAGAATCTATTACTGAAATTCGGGTGTGATTTGACAGCAAAGTAGACGATGTTATTCTTCACTAGTTACTGCAATCTTCTCCCCGACATCACTTAAATATTTTTTTCTTTGCTTGAGTAAACACACATTATCCTTCTTTTTTCCCCCTTCCTTCCCTTTTTCCTTTTTAGAGGGGAAAAAAACCCATCCAGCTCGCCTTCTCCAGGCTGATAGAGTAGATTGTTATTTCTTTATTTGTCCTATTAAATGGAATTTCTGATCGTTTAATCCGGCCTTTGTAAGTGATTTTAAAGTACTTGAAAGGCGCCCGCCGCTGCTCTCTGGCCCACTGCGCTCCAGCCTCAGCCCTGACCACGCTCAGCAGCTTCTCCAGCTGTGCACCGCCCACTGCCTGCCTTCCCGCCTCTGCTCTGGCTCTAGGCCAGCGTCCTCTCCCCTGTCCTTGAGCCTCACACTCAGCCCCCGATTTGGGGGTACAGTTGTATCCTTGGAAGGGTGCCGGAGGGCTGGCTGGGAGGTTGGGCTACAACTGGTACTTCTGTGGTCAAGGAAGATGGCTTGGAGGGCGCTGAGGTTTGAGCACACCGGCTCCTAGCCCCTGGTCCCTGCAAGCAGGAAAGAAGGCAGGGTACTAGCCCTGTCCAGTCCTTGAGCCCTGGCATGGACTCTATGAAGCCTCCTGATTTCACTCTGACCCTCTACTGGGCTTTCTCCCCTTCCTGTAGAGAGATGGGACCTGCTGGGCCCAGCAGTGGATGGGAACACTGAGGTGCCTATCTGACCGCAAACTGGCCGTCACTTTGGTTCCATCACCAGACCCACCATTCAGTTTCTGGGAAATCACCTAAGCTTTTTTCCCACTGACCACTGTCCTGCATGCTGCCACCCTCCTGCCACTGGGAGAAGGGTAGCCTGGTGTGTAGGGGCATCTGAAGTGAGGGGATGTGTAATGTTTGAAGGGTCAGCCAGCTCCCAGACCCACTGGTCGAAGCCCAGTCCTTTGTTAGCAGGCCAAGCAGGAATTAAGTCTCATCTGGCCACGTCGCAGGTCATGGGTTCTAAGCCATGTAAGTGGCTTTCCTGGGCCTCAGTTTCCTCATCTGTGCCATTGGGTCAGTCATGACTATAAGGGACTGCTAGGGAAGATGCTGTTCCTATCTGCCATGTGTCCTCCTCCCTACGTGGAGGCTGCTGGCGGCCAGGTGACGCGGGCAGGGAATGGAGGGGGCAATGGAGTGCTGGGGGCCTGAGCAGATCGATGCCCCCAGCACTTCCTTCCCCAACCCCAGGAAAACAATTAAGTACAGATCGATGGGTGGCCGCTTTGAATATGCATAAGTGAGCACTTGACCTTCAGCAGAGCATCTGCTCCCCCCACCACACATACACACACACACACACACACAACCACACACACGACCACATGCACGCACACACCCCATGTACGCCCTCCACTGCTGCCCGAGTCGACCAGGTGACCTTACTTCTCTCCTCAGGTGAGCCTCCACGTGGCTCTCAGAGCCTTCTGCAGCCTGGCCTGCTCAGGATCGAAAGCAGCCTGACCATGGCCAGATCGCTGTCAGCTCTTGCATCAGCATTGCTGATGGGGTTTGGGATACAGGGGAGGAGGAGTCGGGCAAAGTGCTGGGGGCTCTGGGAAACAAGGAATCAAAGGCATGGTGTTTGGTAAAGGGGATGCCCTGGTGAGAGGAGGGCTCCTGACAGGAAGATCTCGGAAAATGTGAGCTCTTGGGCTGGCAGGTGGTGTGCTGGTTAAGGGCACTAGACTCTCACATGGCTGACTGTGGTTTGAGTACCAAACTTACTGGCTTGCTTTCTTGCTTTCCCTTCCTCTCTTTCTCTCTGTCTGTCTCTGGTCAGATTAAATAATAATAATAACAACAACAAATGGAATTAAATAATTAAATAAATAAATCTTGAAAAGAAAGAAAATGAGAGCTCTCTAGAGAGAAGCTCTGACCAGGGGGCCACCCAGTGAGGATGGGGGGACTCCAATGGGTGAAACCAGGAGAAAGGAAACTCAGGAGAGGAAGAGGTTTTCTGGTAGGAAGAGGGCCTGGTGAAAAGGGGACCCAGTGAGGGGACTCTCATGAGGTAGCATTATGAGAGTAAGCCCCTTGTGGGAGGATTTGGGGGTCCAGGGGAAGCCAGATAAGTGGGTTGGTTAAGAGGTCAGGGCCTCTGTTAACCACTCTTGCCTCCTGTCTTCCAGGCTTACAGCTTCGCCATGGGCTGCTGGCCCAAGAACGGACTTCTAGACATGAACAAGGGTCTCAGCCTGCAGCACATAGGCCGGCCCCACAGCGGCATTGGTCAGTTCCTCCACATGTCCCCTGGCAGCTCGACCCAATTCTCTGCCTGCATGCCCTAGTCCCCTGGCACTCAGAAGGTTCCTGGCTCATTCAGTGCCCAACAGGGTTCCCTTCACAACTGGGAGCAAAGGGAGGCGGGGAGTGAAGGGATTATGGAGTGAGACAGACCCTTGGAAGAGACCCCTCCCCACAAAGCAACATTTGGAAGGAGCTTGGGGTCTGGGCTTTGGGTGAGTCACAGGTGGCCTTGGATTCAGGCTGAGGTTCCCCTTCACTGGCTGCTCCCTGGTGGGCAATGTCCTTACAGGGGTGGGCATATGTCAGATTGCCCATCCCCCATAGAGCTGGAGGAGGCTGTTTAATATTGTTTCAAGTCTGTGGCCACTAAACTGGACGATCAATGGGAGTTAAGGAGATGAATTATTTAAACCTCACCAGCTTTTAATTAGTCAGGGTCCTTCTGACCGATGGCTCCGTCCACAGGGTATTGACTCCCCCGCAGGAGCAGCAACCTCCATTGAGCGGTGCCTGGGTTGGAAGGGGCCACTTGGGGTACCAGGTGGGGGTACACCCTCAGAGAATTCCTGCTTTGGAGGGGACTGGAGTTGCTGTCATTCTAGGCGGTTGAAGGTCCTGCTGGCTTCTGATCTATCAGTATGAATGTGTCTGTCTGTCTGTGAGTATCTGTGTATCTACTTACGTGTGACACCTTAAGCCTTCTGTCTCTGTATATCAGAGTGTATGTCTGTGATTTGCATATCTGAGAGATGTGTGTGTGTCACAATTATCTGTATTTTTCTGAGGATACGGATCCATATGTGTAAGAACAACCAGCATGCATGTGTACCTGTCAGAAAGTTTGTCTGTTTCTGCGTTTCTTACTTTGTGTGCATATGCACATGGACATGCAAATGTTTTCAAGCAGGGCACTTGTTCCCAATGGGAAGGAACCTGGTACCCCACTGGTGCTGTCACATTATCACAGCCTGTGTTCGTTAGGGTAGGTATCATTGGGAGAGGGCTGGGGCAAGACACCAGAAGGACCCAGTCACCTGCTGCAGACTAGCCCCTTTACCCACTCCATAGACGTGTGGCAGTGCCCAGTGAGTACTGCGCATGCTGAGAGCGTCTGTCCCCGGGAGTGTATGGAGGGGATGGAGCTGGAAATAGGCACTGGCCACCCATGGTCTTAAGGGCTGTGACAAAACAAGTGGATGCCCCCAAGGGAGGCTTTCCCTGTCATCAGTTGCCAAAGTAGCTTATACTTTCTCATTTGCATCTCATCGCTCTGGGATGCCCCATATCATTCTTGTTGGGGCATTCTGAGGCTGTGCTAGGATCCAGGGAGAATGAGGAAGTGGTCCACAGATCCAGGGAACTGGGAGTACCCCACCATAACTGCTGGCCTCTGTGCAACCGAGAGAAAACACCACACCCAAACAGGCAGTGTGCCTAGGAAGTCAGCAGAAAGTGTCCTAGAGACAAGGGCCCTTGAGTCAAGATCCTTGAAGGATGAATAGGAGTTTTCTAGGCAAGAAAACTGGGGAAGGGTATCCTAAATAGGGAGATGCCTGGGGACATGAGAAAGCCAGCATGTTGAGAGGACATGCTGACATCTACAAGTAGTTTTCTATGCCTCGGGTGGAAAATTTGGGCTAGGGAATGGCTAAAAAATAAACAGAAATAAGCAGAACCTTGAATACCTGGTTCCTGGGTATGGATTTTTCTTGAGGTTTGTGAGTGAGAAACAACATGATCAGACCTCTGTTCAGAATCAGTGTGTCACTTTGTGCTGCACAAAACTGGTTCTTAGTGCTCAATACATGCTAAGGATGGATGAGTGAATGAGTGGCTGAGTCCGTGCAGGCATGATAGGGAAGGGAGGGACCAGAGAGAGAGGACCCGTGAGAAGATGTGCTTTGGCCCAGGGAACAGGAGCTGCCAGTAATCAGGTCTGGATGGCAAGAGGGACCAGCAGGACTGGGTTACTGCACCCTGCACAGCCTTGAGCTGGGGCCATGCTTCTGTGTATCTGCCCCAGGGTGTTTGTGAGGAGTAGAGGTTCCCTTTTCCCACTCTTGGCTGCCTGTTGTGACACAGTGATGCCCTCTTATACCTGTTCACCATATTGACTCTGGACTAGGACCCCTAAAGTAGCCCCATTCTTCTTCGATAAAGGTCTCTCAGGGCCAGCAGGTGGCATAGGGGTTAAGGCACTTGTATTCCTACATGGTCGACTGCAGTTCAAGTCCTGGACCTAGCAGTTTGAAAATCATGCCAAGCACATGTGCATGTGTGCTCAAAATTCCAGGAGGAAATGGAGAAGAAGGGATTACGCTGCAGCATGGCCACTCCCAGGGGTGATTTCTCACTTTCCCTCTCACTGTCTCTCCAGGGAGCATATATACCCTATGGCAAAAACCTTAAAAAAAAAAAAAAGAGAGAGAGAGACACAGAAAGGTTTCTCCCAGGGAGCATATATACCCTATGGCAAAAACCTTAAAAAAAAAAAAAAGAGAGAGAGAGAGAGAGAAAGGTTTCTCCAGCTGGGTGGGACAGCCCAAGGATCCGAAAAACGATCAAAAGCTTTGGAACTAGAGAAAATTCTGGCTCCAGCACCCAGAACCCTGCGCCCTTAGATGAGGGGTGGTGCTGCCTGCTCTCAGGGCTGCTGGGAAGGCACAGCGAGCCACCTTAGCCAGGGCCTGCACCGTGCCTAACCGTGGGTGCTCTAAGAGCCTTGTCCTCTGTGGCTCTGCCAACACCAGAGGCTCCTCAGAGTATTGGGAGGTCGTTGTACTTGGTTGTTCTAGTCTTCGAATGAAGAGGCTAGCCCTGCCAGCTCCTGCTGGCTCTGAGGTGTGGGCAAGGGTGCTTGGAAGGGAGGGAGGATGCGGGGCATTAATTGGGCTGGGAGAGGCGGGGAGGGGAGGCGTGGGTTTTGAGCAGGGAGGTTAATGGCCCTCGCGCCAAAGAGACAGCTTTAATGAGCTTCAGCTGGTGGTGCCCCGAGTTACTATGCGTGCTAAAAGGGTCGCGCTGTAAGAGTTTGATGTGGACTGCTTCCCAGCCCTAGGGTCAGGGGTTGGCTCCTGTCACTGGCCACTCAGGCTGGTCCTCAGTGACATGGTGCTAATTAACTGTGTGAGGAGCTGCCAGCCTGGAGTGGGGAGTGGTATGCGTGCAGTGGGGGTGGGGGCATCGGGTGACACTGAGCAAGGGCCTGCCTGCTTCTCCCTGGGTGCCATGGGTGTGGTAGTGGGGCCGTGGCAGCCTGGGAGCGAGGAGGCAGGCTTGCTGGTGGGTTGGGGTGCCTGTTGGAAGGAGGAGATGAGGCTGTAGAAGAGAGGCCGCTGGGCTGGTTTGCTCTGTGGTGGGAGGAGCCGTGGGTTGTAGGGCAAGGCACTGACTTGGTCAGTCGGGGTTTGGCCAGAGCAGACCAATCATTTGTACCCGAAGGACTAGTGAGGAGACACTGCAGACAGGGAGACCGAATGGGGAGTCAGCAGGGGAAGGTAGGGAAGCAGTGGTGGTTACTTCGGAGCCAGGGGACCAGTAAAACACTTTGATGCAATAAACGTCTACCTTGTTCCTAAGCTAGGTCAGGAGCGGTGATGGGAGCTGTAGAGGTATTGGGCAAGATGACAGGCATGTGCCCTGCCCCCACAGAGCTCACAAGTAGAATGGCGAGCTGGGCCCAGGGACTGAGCGAGAGCCAGGGTTCAGGATGGCTGAGGAGGGTCCAGAGACAGCAGTGTGCTGGGTCGGAAACTGCCGGAGGTTTGTGAGTGTGACATCATGGTCAGGGGAGGGACTAAGGGCACTTTCTCCTGAGGCAGTGGATTTGGCCTTGGGATCCTGGTGAACAGGGTGATGCTGGAGCCGGTGGCCAGGGAGGAGGGGCAGTGTGTATCTAGGACTGCTGACTTCCACGGCTGCCCATTCGTGCTCAGCGTCCCTGGTTTGGGCCCAGGCAGCCTCCACAGGGGACTGCTGAATGGTCTTCTTTCAGTTTACCAAAGGGTCAACAAGGTATCACATTATTTTGAGGTGCTTGTATTGACTAATTTCATTTTCATGACTTGAAGGCCATCCTATAATAGTTGAGGAAATTGAGGTTCCATTAAGTGACTTACCTGAGGTCACATAGCCAGTTGGGTTGAGAGCCAGGATTCCAACCCAGGCCCATCTGAATGCAGAACCTATGCTCTTAACACTGCACTGAACCACAGAGCACCTCTGTGGACTTGGTGCTACCCACAGAGGCGATATGGAAGAAAGCAAGCTCTCTTCCCTCATTTCTGGTCACATGAAACTCTCAGGCCTTGACGGACCTCGGTGCAACAGCCGAGGAGGAAACGACCGTTGGCATTGCTCTCCTTCACCCCTGTTCCTGTCACCCGGAGGGTGAGGCCCTGCCCTTGTTGGCATCGGGCCTCCTCTGGCCCTACAGTTCTCTCTGATTTCAGTTTGCTGTATACCCCTTGACCCAGGAAGTTATATCCGTCTTCCAGTGGCCACTCCTGTGGGATGTTCATCTGGCCCTCTCAGTATGAGCATACAGAGCACACAAGGTACTGATAGTCCTTCAAATCTGACCAAGGTACTGATAGTCCTGCGTGCTCGGCCTCTCTGAGGGCAGGGCCTAGGCCTCCTTCCCTTTCTTTTTGGACATCTGCGTGGGGGAAACATCAGTAAAAGCTCATTGATTACGGTGACATGGAGGCCCCATAGCCTGCTCGTTTCAGCTGGCTGAGAAAATAACTGGAACCTTTTCTGCTCTCTGACTGGGTGGTCTTGCCCTGGGGGCTTAGCCCTTTTGCTCCAGGACTTGAGGATCTCTCTGAGGCTCAGGGTACAGGTGGCATGGCCAGAGACCAAGTGGACTCTATGCAGCTTGCTGCCCAGCATGGTTTGGCAAGAGAGCTGGGCTGGCAGGTGGCAGGATGGGGGCCTGGCCCCCAGGGGGGCAGTACTGGCCTGTGGTATACCCTGAAGGA